TTTTCAAGTTTAGAAAATCTTGTGACACAAGTGAACATTAAACTGCATTAGTGAAAGGTTTATATACTAATAGAGATGAATGTCTATACATACAACATTGCATTTAGGACAAAAGTTTCACAAAAAGATGTCAGTTCTAATTTTAGCCTCGGGTAGCCGCTTGCACTTTTGGTTAAATAAAGTGTTACTATTATTACCTAATTAAATTCATAAAACTCTATTTGCCACAATTATATATAGTCGTATATGCTCTATTTTCCAATATGGTTAGCATGGACCTACTGAAATGCTTTTAGTATAATCCTTAGGTGAACTAACTCTCTATTTGCTAGACTTACTATAGCTGTTATTTATATATGTTCACTTGGTTGTTTATATTCACTTATACTTATATTCTGATTGTGCATGCATTTCTTATCATCTAGGGTGGTGTCATTTTGGGATGAAATTAATATCCAGTCGTCGCATCGAGCCATCTGCTATCGCACTATTTGTTGTGGATCGAAAGAAATAAAAAGGAGCAAAATCTAGGGAGTCAAACTAGGATCACATTCCTCAAATTGGCTACACCGTTCTAGATTATTGTTCTGAAACATATTCCATAGTTTTAGAAGAGATATAACTACTACAGAACCGAGCTATTGTATCATAAGCCTGCAACACAAGAACATGTGTTCCAGAGAAATGACTAGTAACACCACTCCATGTGTTGCAGACATGCGTGTAACACATCATTAGTAGGCGTGGACAGAGCTTGATGCTGTAAACACATGCATGTAACACAAAAATAGGCAATCTGCAACAGAACTAACTATTACAATTTTTAAGCCATTAACTGCTTTGGACAAGTGAAAAGAAATTATGTGACTTCACAACAGATACAAAGCTGAGCATGACATTTGACAAATATTGCATTAAATAACTTCATGACAGAGATCCTTGAATCCTTGCAACTCCATAATGTTACACTGAATAATAATTCAAATTTTAGAATGTTATTTCAACCATTGATTATGTTGAATTGGATCTTCTGCGCATTTAAATTTGTACTAAAAAGTTAAAGTGAACCAACAATGCATTAAAATACATGTTTTAGAATATAATACCGAATGTTGGATAATAATACAAATAAATTCTTTTGTGACTCACTAAAAAGTACTATTTTTTTACAAATCTAAAACAACAATTTACATGAACGAGCAATGATGCACTTGCAAGGTGCCTTGCCCCAAATATATACCCAATACTGAAATAAAAAACTAATTATTTTAACAGATATTATTTCAACAATGCCAGTGCAGCTATTATATCTAGCTAAAAAATAGTATGCAACAAACTAGTATATATATTTAGTCCTGAATGAAAACCTAGTTATTGTTCAGTTGACATGGATATAGATATCGCAATAAAAAACAATTTTTAGGAAACATAACAGAGCTTTTGAGAAAATATGGATATCTGTAATGCTAGAAAATATGGATTCATATACTATATAGCAATAGATTGAAAAATAGTATGAAAAACACAAAAACCATCAATGTGTTCGTTCTTATCAAGAACATGCCTCCAGACAGAAACATAAATTTAGGCTCACTTCTGATGCCTGCAAACAAAATCAACATCTTCAGAGAGAAGGGTGATCTCAAGATTAGTGTTTAAAATTAAACTAACAACATCCACAGTGGTTTTCATTACTAAAAAAATCTGCAAACAGAACAAACACACCAATGCCGTAGAAAAGATGAAACAAGTGCTTCCATGACAAATATCTACCTTTTAAGACAAGGCATGACCATCAAAAGTTTACATGTATAGTATGCGCATAAGGAGTGGAATCATCACCAAATAGTTCTGTAGACTACTGTAACAGCATACTTAAGAACAAGCACAACAGTGACTGCTTAGAAAACTAGCAACCATATATTTTCCCTGCTGATGAAGTCATAAATTAATCATCAGTAAGGATACATGTATACAAGGAAATATATGTCCTCACATTGACATACTTTAGAACAAAGTGAATATTAAAAAGATCCCAATTACGAAGGTGAAACATGGACACTAGATAAATATGCTCATTCAGACCTCGATATGTCTGTGCTTAGGAAATACTGCCAGTCGTTATGTCCATGTAACCATTCAATTTTATATACTTTGGGCATATTCAGTACTTAGTACAGTATTATGCATATATTGGATATGTCCAACATGTCAGAAAATATTTATAGTCTATAGTCCATCATAACATTCAGTTCAAGAGACATTGGTCAGGTAAAAATTCAAGAATTTCGTATCGGTGAGATAAAGTCTTAACCTACAAAATCAACATTTAAGGAATGTTTCAAACAAATAATAAATAAATTTTCATAACATTAATAGTTGCAGATTCATACAGTAAGTTTAAGCAACCAGAAAAGTGTGAAATTTGATTTATGTGCAACAGATCGACACAGAAGGAAACAAAAAATCACCGCTTACTACCGCCTGCTGTGCTTCCCACCATTGGCCATCGAGGTAGTCCTAACATCCTGCCTGCTTACCGCTGCCCCCCAGGTCTCCAGCTCTGCCGAGAAATCCAGCCAGGTCGCTCCATGGCTGGCTTCGCCCTGCAACAGGAAGGGGATCAAACATTAAGGCTTATGGTGACACTACGTATGGGTTGGAAAATAGGATTTCATTGATTTCATTCACTGATTCACTCACCAAGCCGTTGTCCAGACTCCTGTCGGATCGGCTGCCGCGGAGCAGCCTGCTCTATGCCTCGCGGCCGCAGCCACCGTGCCCCGTTGTCCAGTCGGCCGCCCTGGAGCAGCGCCGCTCCCGCCGGCTGCCGGGGTCTCCATGCCTCACGGCCGTGCTGCTGCAGGCGCCCCGCCCTCCTGCCGGCCACCGGGCTCGACGCTCTCCTAGGCGGCGGGCGCTGGCTTGGCCCTGGAGTTCTGTACTGGTTCCTCAATCCTCTGCCTATTACTTGCGTGGATTCAGGGGAGGTGAAGGGGTGGGGGAGATCATTGGCACTAGGAGATATTTGATGAGAGATTGGGCGCGCCACGAGAGGGATTCGGCATTCGGCGCGGTGCCAAGATTTCGCGCGTCAATGAAAATTGGCGCGGGTAAATTGCCGCCAGGAGGTGGATTTGGCGCCACCGATACAGAAGGGACATTTGGTTTTTCAGAATAAGTCGCGGGCACAGGGTGGACTATAAAGGAACAGGTATCACGACAAAAAATAAAAAATAAAAACCATGTGTGTTTCTTTTTTTTCATTTTTCTTTAGGGATAAAAATTCTTTATGCAAGTGTTTTTCTCCTTTTTTTTTAAGCTGACTGAAACAGACTTTCAAATCAGATTTTATCAAGATTTAGAAACTTTTTAACCTAGATTTGAAAACTTTTTAACTCTAAATTTGAAAAACTTTCAACTTAGATATTAAAAGTTTTCAACTTAGATTTGAAAACTTTCAAATCCAGATTTGGAACTTTAAACTTGGATTTCAAAACTTTCAGTTCAGATTTAAAAAAATTCAAGTCAAGATTTGACAACTTTCAACTTTCAGGTGCTCACCGACTCGTAGGTGGCCGTGGCGAGCAGCGGCGACAAGAAGACGTCATCGTCGCCGAGGAGGATGGCGGCATGTGCTAGGGGGGAGGGGAATGGGACGCCGGTAGTGCGCGCCCTAAACCCATCCGCACGTCGATCGAGTCGTCTTCTCTCGCTGCCCCCATCGTTGCTCATCATCCTCCTTCACTGCCACCGGTTGCCGACATCGCATCCACCCTTGATGCACCACAAGAGCTAAACTTAACTCTCTCAATGAGTTCCTCAGGTTTAGTGTCATCTAGGCGATGCCTCTTATCGCTAGTGGCGATGCTACTTGATATGACCGATGGATGGGGCCACGTCGTTACATCTAGCGATAACCCCAAGGTAGTGATGGTGGGCGATAGTTGCGACGAGGCAATTGAGCGCTCAAAAGCGTGGCATCCAAAGGTGTACACGGAGTGGGCCTGACCTGCCCACTTACTCCCTCCGTCCCAAAAAAAAAGACAAACCATGGGTTTACGTGTCCAACGTTTGACCGTCCGTCTTATTTGAAAAAATTAAAAAGACAAGTCACGCATTAAGTATTAATCATGTTTTATTATCTAACAATAATAAAAATACTAATTATAAAAAAATTTCATATAAGATGGACAGTCAAACGTTGGACACGGAAACCCAGGGTTTGCCTTTTTTTGGAACGGAGGGAGTAGTGGTTTGTTTGGTGTTAGCACCTAGGCACAAGGGTAGAGGAAGGTGTTGATGGGACGTTGACCCATTTTTGCCCGCTAAACTTTCCTCTTTCATGGAACTCCTCTTCCTCTAAGCCAACTTCCTTCTGATCATATGGAATTCTATGTGGAGAGAGGGTTTGACTAGCAAGTAGCTACTCGACGAATGATCGGTGGGTTGTGACATCTAGTTTTTCACGTGGATTTGCCATGGGGCAGTTGCAATCATTATGTGGGCATGCATTGGTGGGATAAGGCAAAATCAAAGTTGTTGCGTTAAGTGCGATGAAACAATGAGCTACAGGAGTTCACTTGTATATATATATTTTTTAAGAAAATCATGAGCTGTAGTTAGGAGTAAATACGGATATGTATTTTCAAAAGTAAACGAACATAAAAACCGACTCATACATGGATAATGTACCAAAATACCGGCAAAATAGTAGAGATTTCGTAAAAAATAAATTAAATTTCAGAGTAAATTTGATAAGCTTCTATTTATAATCAATACTCTATAAAATTATTGATTGAGGTTATACCTTGAAACCATTGTAATTTTTAATGTGTGTTTGCTTATTACAGTAAACATAAACACGTAATTTTTGTTGGAGCACAAAGTTGTGTCCAAATAATTTTGGGCGCGTAAATATTTGTAGTGACCGCGAAAATTTCCCTCCAACTCCCTCAAAACCTCAATTAGAGGACCTATAACTAACTCGTCTTCTAGTCTTCCAGATCAGATCTCAAAATTCTCCTCTGAACTTTTCCCCTCTCGTGAGACTCCTCGTCTCCTGCTCGGCTGCTCCCACCAGATCCACGCTGCTGCAGTCTGAACTGGTGAGAAGCAGGCAAGAGGAAGCACTCATCTTCTTCTCTCCTCATCCTTTTTCCTTTCTCTGCTGCAGTCTGCAGTTCGGCTATCTTCCTGGGCGTGCTCTGTGGCTCAAGGTGAAAAATGGCGATGCAGAGAGTAGCGGCTGAGGCAGTGGAGGGCATATCAGTACATGACATCGCCACATCCACGAGTGGTGGCGAGACGGAGGGCGGCCGTGGCCTTCCTCGTCGGCTTGCAGCGCGGAGCCGTGGAGGCAGCGGGCAAACTCGACGGCTGTGGCAACACAACAGGAGTGTATGTCAATACTTCCATAACTCAATGTGTAGCGAGGTCCTTGTTTGATGCTCCAATGCTCCATATATACATTTTTTTCTTAAGAGAATGATTCATATATAAAATTCATGTGAATTTTATGGGCTAATAGAGATATCTTCATCTTGATGAACTGCAGGTACTGCACACATTCAAGACTTGTACTATACAATGCAAGTGTATACGCATGCAGTAGATGACCAAGTTCAACTTAGAGCAAAAATGATGATTATTCAGATGTTTATCTCATCAATGGATCTACGGCAAATAATTTTACAAAGAATAGAGAAATAGATGCACATTTTAATATTGTATGTAGAAACGGTACTTACTATTAAGACTTGTTATATGGCTTGATGTAAATAACACTTATTTTGTTTCATGCGTGCTGATCTGTGTTATTTGAGACAAGTGATTGTTATAAATATATGTTTTTCTATATTATGGGAAATGCAAAAGGCATCCAATTCAAGAATAAATTGGTACTTAGACCGTTATTGGTAATAAAAAAGTGTAGTTAAAAACAGAGAAACTGTGTTACTAGGCTAAAATATATGTTACAGGGCCTATGCCAAGGTGTTGCACCGTGCAATATGAGGCTGTAATATGTGTTACAACGAAATGATTGTAACATCTTTTTTTTTATGTTGTAACACTAGTCATGTGCTACTAGCGAAATGGTTGTAACACCTATTTTCATATGCTGGAACACTAATTATGTGCTACTAGACTATACGCCTGTAACATGGGCAATAAGAACACATAAATTTTGTGTTACTACTGATCTCAGTAACACCTTTTTATGGATATAGTAGCACATAGCCGTGTTACTATAGCCCTGTCCTGGTGTAGTTAATCCTCTCATTCCACTTCCTCAATCTACTGATGCAAGAACATTTGAGACTTAGACAAAAACATCTTTTTGGCTGCTTTAGCTATGATACTTTAAGCTTAATTCACCACCAAAATATGGTCCAAATGTTTCTATTTGAATGCAAGGATGTAAAGTTGGAACCTTTTTAAGTTATGTAAACACACCTTGGATCAAGTGAAATATGTTGTGACATGCTAATTATGTGTTTCACAAGGATAGCTTGACATTATGCTGATGTTTAAATATTGGCTTCACAATGATAGGTGGTATTATGATGCTTTTTAGCAAACCATGCCTTTACAACTATAATTGTTGCAAGACTATTGGCTGCCTTATCTTTTTGTATGGTGTGTCTTGAGAAAGTCTTCATAGCTTACGGAAAAACATGGATGGAGGCATAATAGCTTGAAGAGTTGAAGTAATTATGGTTCATGTGCTCACTTAAAAAAGTGTTTAATGTTAATGTTGAATCCTGAACTTGAAGAAGATTTTTTGAAAGTGTAGTTAGATGTCGCTATGTAGTAAATATCCAATACATGGATTTAATGCTGCATAACGCTGCATATATATACACACATACAAGATCAAACGAACTGAACTGTATGCGCACGCCACAACACCTAGTACACATATACTAGCTAGCCACTTAGTCGCGCAAAAGCGCATGAGCATAACCTACCTATATAATTAGGCCATTGATCATGACATTAATTGAACGTACCGGTTTCATAATGTTAATTTTTTCATTCTTAAATATACTCCATTAATTTCTATATATATAAGTATTTCTACTTTGTTTAGTAAATAGTAAGATTAAGGTGGAATGATCTCTTTCAGTCACTTATTATCAAATTTTGAACTTCTCTGATTGCTCTTTCCGAATGTCTGATTGGCTAAAAATACTTAGATATGCATTAAAATTAGTGTCCTGAAGTGCTTATATTTTTATATAAAATTCGAATCATAGAAATACTTATTTTTGAAAATGATGCATCAGCTAGTGATGTAAATGGATGAACGTTATAATTGATTGGCATTAAAAAGTAGGCAAAGAAATTAAATAGGATATGACTTTGTTAGTTAAGATAAAGGAGTAGATATATAAATAGCTAATATTTTATGATAAATTTTGAATGTTAAAGGTAGTTATGTTTTAGGACGAAACCAGCAATAACATTAAGTGCTCCTAAATGTAGGGTGTGCGGGTATGCGTTCGTAGGGACTGATTTAAAATAAAATTGGTATGTAGTGGATACTACTAAGATGTTGTGTGTTGCTCCAATAACAAGCAAAAGTAATATAACAAAGTATTTACATGTATACTCTCGTACATTATAGATATAAACTTGCATATAAATTCAATGCAAATTTACAGCTAAGGCTTCATATTTTTTTCCTTTATTTAGTCAGAAGATTAATTAAGAAAACATATATATATTGTATAATACATTTTTTTGAACTACAGTGTTAAAAAGACTAAACACATGAGTTCAGTGCTTTTTGAGATCTTTAGTCCGGAAGCATCTGGATTGGTCCAACGTGTTTCCACAGTCATAGATGAGCCTGATGATCTAATGGTGCATTTTCATTTACCAGTTCATCCAATGGTCCTTACCATTGTAGATGACATGGCTTATCCTCCTTTTAGAAAGATTGTTGTTTTCACATATTTAGATTTTTAAATACACGTGGGCCTTGAAATATACAATATATATTTCAATTATGAAATGAGTAAAATATTTTTTAACAACATGGATTTCACGTACACACTTACTGGATATCATGGTAACGATAGCACGAGCATAATAATATAAATAATCATGAAGCGATCAATTTATCAATCGGAGTTAAAGTGAATAAATGTAGTAAAATATACCTAAAATAAAGATAAGAAAAATACTATTGCGCACTTTATGTGAAGGTATTGATCATTTGAACTAGAAGCATAAGCATGCTGAAACATTGGGTTCGTTCATGCAAAACACATCCATCATCTGGGACCTTTTGCTCCATGGCCATATAATAGGGGCCCTCGAATCTCCAAGTAAAAACATCATTCATTGTGCGCATGAACTCCATATTCTACTTGAACTGCTCTAGTAGGCATGGAGCCACCTCATCCTCAAGCTGCCTGATCGCCGTTGCGTCGCAGCGACGATGGCTACTTCCGGTGGGCACTTGTCCGCCGTCATATACAGCGATGGTGATATATAGCTTAGGAATGCGGCTGCAGCTAGACAACGTGGCTACCAAGCAACGAGCAGCGGCTATACAGTGATGGTGATGCGATTTAGCAGCGGCACGACTACGGCAACGACACGGCAAGGCGCGGTACGTGGAGATTATGGGTACCCCATACCCATATGACATGGTTATCCGCCTAGTAATAGGGGATAACTTTATATATATATATATATATATATATATATATATATATATATATATATATATATATATATATATATATATATATATATATGTAACGGATCAAGACTTGGGTATTACGTCAGAACGGTCTAAAGTCCTGGTTTGATAATAGATTTAGGAAACCCATATCGTATTGGATAATGTTTCTATCTTGGCAAGACAAAATTGGAATGGAAGTTTACGATGTTGTTTTTGCATGAAAAATGAGACCATACAACATCTTTTTATGGATTGCCATTTTGCAAAATTTGTTTGGAGAGCAGTACTGTTTGCTTTTGGTCTGTACCTTCCTAATACCATATCTCACATGTTTGATGGTTGGCTTTTGGGGGTAGACAAGAAGAAGAGCAAACTAATTCTTGTAGGAGCATCTGCTATATGCTGGGCTTTGTGGTTGAGTAGAAATGATATGGTTTTTGAGATATCACCATCTATCTCATATATGTAGGCAATTTTCAGGGCAACTTATTGGCTCTGGTCTTGGGCACGGCTGCAAAGGTGTTATGATGATGGAGAGTTTGTGAAGGTTGCATGTCATAAGCTAGAGACGACGGTTATTCAACTTTTTACCAAATATGGATGGAGATTCACAAATAGACTTAAATAGTTGTGTTCTTTTCATATTGGATTGGTTACATTTATTATGTTTGGGTGTGTTAAATTCTATTTGAACTACACTCTTTGTTGAGTGACAGTTTGTAATAATTGGCTGTAGCTCTGTTGAGCAAAGGCCGGGATATATCTCTTCCATTATCTAAAAAAAATCTTGTAATCCTGCCCCCCATCCTATATAAGTCGGGCATGAGGCCCTCTAGGGCATGAGTATACACAACTAGATCGTCAGATCTATAATACACACGGTGGATTCAAATCCCCAAATAGGAGTAGGGTATTACCTCTCATTGAGAGGGTCCGAACCTGTCTAAATCCTTATCACCGCATTCATCCACTTTTAGGTCTCGTGCGCTACCCCTTTTATATTGCCGAAATCATGTTTCGACACTTGGCGCGCCAGATATGGGCACGCCGAGTTTCCTATCGATGAGTGTGATGGAATCAATCTTTAGAAGTCGTCGGCATCGTCTTCGCTCGAGTTTCTCTGCCGTCAACACCACTTCCTGATCAATTCAATCTACAAGAAAATATTGGGTTTGTTGTTCTAATCTTGCACAACGAGGTCAATTTGTTGATGCAAAAAACACACACTGGCTTGGGAGATTTGCTTAACTCCAGTGCAGGTCCAAATCTTGGTTTCGGGTTCAAGGCGTGCCAGTTGGTTTGATCCTGCAACCAACAAAAAATAAGCAAACAAAGTTAAATCCATAAACAATAGCCGATCGGCAAATAGCCGATGACATATCGTTCAACATTGTGCCGATGCAATGGATACTGGATCAGCAATGATGAATAAGGCAAATTAGAGTTAAATCTACTCGATCGGCTATAGATATTAACGATATGTAATCTGTAACAATCCTCCAACATTGTCGGCCAAAAATACCCAACTCACCGAAGTAATCACTTCATCTTGTGGGCCGATTGATGTGTACCACATATACCTTCATGCACTTCTCCCATCGCTACCATGGCTTGATCGGCACTCGAACACTTGAGCAACATCCCATCAATCATCTGATAGTATAGCTCATCTTCCAGTAAGACATATGTCAAAACCTTATACCTTAATTTCCTTGAAGCCGATTGAGAAGGATTCTTTAAGTAACTGTAGACATCACACCTCCAATCATCGCCTGTAATTGCGGCCACTTCTATATCAACACCTTTGACCATCGGCTTGTAACCTAATGCACTTTGAGCCAAATCATTAGCCTCGATATTCTGCTCCCGAGAAACATGTTTCAATGTCACAAGTGGAAAACCATCCATCAATTCTCGGCACTTCTCATTGTAGATCATCAATGTATCGTTCTTGCATTCATATTCCCCGGCTAATTGGCTAATGACTAACAAAGAATCACCCATGATTTCAACAACATCAGCTTCAACCTCCTTCAAAAGTTGCAATCCCTTGAGTACTGCTTCATACTCAGCTTGGTTATTAATAGCATAGGGTTTAATATTATAAGCAAACTCAAAACTTGCCCCCTAGGAGAAATTATGACCAAGCCGATGCCACAAC